ACGTTGTAGCGAGTAATGTAGGTATCCTATGCTGAATAAAAGATATATAGGTATGTGAAAGTTACATACCGGATGCTAGTGGTGACTTGCATTAGACTCAACTAAACAGGCAAATTGCTTCTAAAGACCCTGATGGCAGTATATGCCCCTGAATTTTAATTACCTCTTTATCGACCTTATTTATTAAGAGCATCCTTCGTGATGTTCCGTACTTCTTGTGTCAACAATAAGAGCCTTTTGATATAACCAATTATTAAAATGGGGAGACTGTTGTCTCTCGTATCTTCTGCGATACTTCAATTATTTCTGAAAATATTCTAATAGGTATGTAGTCAAACAATGTAGCATCGTCCTACAGATGGCGTTTACTGCGCCATTTGTAGTATTTTCTAAAACGCACTGTTAAGACAGCAGGTAAAAGTTGGTCTGTGGTCTACCGGAGCTGCCTGCGACGCGCTGATGAGATCCAAGAAGGTCGAAATCGCGATCCGCGTCTGGCAGTTTCGACAGAATATAGACCACTTCGAATAATTTTATTCGGTATGTAGTCAGTTTATATGTATACCTGCATAAGTAGAAAAGAAGATTTCGACAGTACCTTATCGATTTGTAAATAAGCCAGTATAGGTATTTTTTTAACATCAAACCCGACAGTACGTAATTATAGGTCAAAGTTACCTATTACTAACGATAAGAAAATCCAACCGACAAAAAATAATAAAATCGTTCTTTTCTGGATTTTATTACTGCTTGAATTAGTTCGTGTAATGACGTAAAGACAATCTCTCAATAATTTTGCAGCAATACGGTCGAATTCAATATCGATGAACGTTCTTTTTCGACCATATGATATTTCCGCTATAGTAGACGTTATCCAAATCAGAAACGGGATTATCGGATATTAAAACGGAGCAAGTTAAAGAATTTTATACACGCTGCCCTTCCTTGGGGATCCCATAAATTTCAATATAATCTGTTGAACGTGAGAGCTTTTGTGCCGTAAAGTCGATATTATACAACTGACTTACTCGCTGATATATTCGAGAAAGTTTTGCTTATTTCTATTTCACGACAGTATACAATGCCTACGCATATATGTATACATACACAGTGACGTTGACAGCTTTTTTCTGTTACCACATTCAACTAGTTTACTCAATACATACAAAAAGTTAAAATGAACTTTCCATCAACTGAAGTCTCTCAATTAAATTGAAAATTTAAGTTCAATGAAATCTATCGTAGATACTAAATACAGTCGAAGTCGTTTATAACGACCACGAATTTAAGAATTTTGTTCGTTATATCCGGTCGTTCGTCAACTAAAGAAAATCAACAACTTTTATAAAATGTCATATAAGTATTTCAGAAACACACAAACGGTGCAAAGAAAAAAGGAGAGCGATACATATTACGTGGTTACATTATGTTGTTATGTTTCTCTATATAAATAATCATACAGTTTGTCAAAGGCTTAAAGTAACGAAAATTCAGCAATGTACAAAGTTTGGAACCACATACATAGTTTATTAAGTCCATCTTACAAAGAAATATTAGTTCGCTTTAACCGATTGAACCTACTAATTTTCCGTTCAAAAACGTTCGCTAAAGCCAATCATTCATTATAAATCTGTAGGTGATTCTGTAAGAATTATTCGGGAACACACAGTATTCCCAATGACAACGCTAATCGAAAAACATCATGACTTTCCATAAAGCAAACAATCTATCATTTGCAACATGGCACAAAGGGATTTATCTTCTTCAGTTTTATGGTGCACTGCGTTATTATCGATCATAAAAATAAAATGTGATTTAAATGCGACAGTAGCTTCTTTCAGGAATACATAATGAAACATAAAATCTTCATAAATCACTTAAATTTAAGTGCTTATGTGACAACTTTTTTCTTTTTCTGTAATTCCAAATTAATCGTTGAATTAATCATACCTAACCAAACCTTACTTGTAATGGCAGTTATTGATTTTTGTGTGTCGATAGTTACCGATATTTTAATTTTCGCAAAATTTTCATTATAAATGCATATAAAACCAACCCTATACCCGATTTTCATGATTATCACATGTAATTATCACATTTATGCAATCAACTATACACTCGTATAAAGACATTTAGACCCACCCGCCTTTTTTCAATTGTTCATTTCCAAATAAAATTCGTCAAAATTGCTGATTTTAATTAAAGATTCTGATTAAAGAATAGCATCCTGTTTATCGAAAGGAGATCTAAGACATAATTTGATATTTTTTATTTGTTATTAGTTTCGAATCTATGTTTAGTCGATGTTTCTGTATGAAAAAAAAATTTTTGTTCTAGCACCCCTTCGAATTGGTCTTCAAAGTCGCCAAACCAGCAGTAATACAAGCGAAGGTAATAATCGTGAATCATCATTAGATGATTCCGGAGTTGTTGACGATCATGAAGATGCTGATTGTACATCTGAAGACGTTGCCACCACTCAGGTGCCAAAATAAAAGCTTCTAATATCAATTATGAAAAATTTATAATGAAAATAGTACCAAAGAATTTCAGAAGGAGTCTCAAGTAAGTAAATACTGGTTGGTTGTATGATGCAAAATGCATTTGGAAGTGTAAAATAATTCACTTACCTAATATTTTAAGTAAATCAGTCTTTACAAGTTACGTTGTAGCGAGTAATGTAGGTATCCTATGCTGAATAAAAGATATATAGGTATGTGAAAGTTACATACCGGATGCTAGTGGTGACTTGCATTAGACTCAACTAAACAGGCAAATTGCTTCTAAAGACCCTGATGGCAGTATATGCCCCTGAATTTTAATTACCTCTTTATCGACCTTATTTATTAAGAGCATCCTTCGTGATGTTCCGTACTTCTTGTGTCAACAATAAGAGCCTTTTGATATAACCAATTATTAAAATGGGGAGACTGTTGTCTCTCGTATCTTCTGCGATACTTCAATTATTTCTGAAAATATTCTAAATGGTATGTAGTCAAACAATGTAGCATCGTCCTACAGATGGCGTTTACTGCGCCATTTGTAGTATTTTCTAAAACGCACTGTTAAGACAGCAGGTAAAAGTTGGTCTGTGGTCTACCGGAGCTGCCTGCGACGCGCTGATGAGATCCAAGAAGGTCGAAATCGCGATCCGCGTCTGGCAGTTTCGACAGAATATAGACCACTTCGAATAATTTTATTCGGTATGTAGTCAGTTTATATGTATACCTGCATAAGTAGAAAAGAAGATTTCGACAGTACCTTATCGATTTGTAAATAAGCCAGTATAGGTATTTTTTTAACATCAAACCCGACAGTACGTAATTATAGGTCAAAGTTACCTATTACTAACGATAAGAAAATCCAACCGACAAAAAATAATAAAATCGTTCTTTTCTGGATTTTATTACTGCTTGAATTAGTTCGTGTAATGACGTAAAGACAATCTCTCAATAATTTTGCAGCAATACGGTCGAATTCAATATCGATGAACGTTCTTTTTCGACCATATGATATTTCCGCTATAGTAGACGTTATCCAAATCAGAAACGGGATTATCGGATATTAAAACGGAGCAAGTTAAAGAATTTTATACACGCTGCCCTTCCTTGGGGATCCCATAAATTTCAATATAATCTGTTGAACGTGAGAGCTTTTGTGCCGTAAAGTCGATATTATACAACTGACTTACTCGCTGATATATTCGAGAAAGTTTTGCTTATTTCTATTTCACGACAGTATACAATGCCTACGCATATATGTATACATACACAGTGACGTTGACAGCTTTTTTCTGTTACCACATTCAACTAGTTTACTCAATACATACAAAAAGTTAAAATGAACTTTCCATCAACTGAAGTCTCTCAATTAAATTGAAAATTTAAGTTCAATGAAATCTATCGTAGATACTAAATACAGTCGAAGTCGTTTATAACGACCACGAATTTAAGAATTTTGTTCGTTATATCCGGTCGTTCGTCAACTAAAGAAAATCAACAACTTTTATAAAATGTCATATAAGTATTTCAGAAACACACAAACGGTGCAAAGAAAAAAGGAGAGCGATACATATTACGTGGTTACATTATGTTGTTATGTTTCTCTATATAAATAATCATACAGTTTGTCAAAGGCTTAAAGTAACGAAAATTCAGCAATGTACAAAGTTTGGAACCACATACATAGTTTATTAAGTCCATCTTACAAAGAAATATTAGTTCGCTTTAACCGATTGAACCTACTAATTTTCCGTTCAAAAACGTTCGCTAAAGCCAATCATTCATTATAAATCTGTAGGTGATTCTGTAAGAATTATTCGGGAACACACAGTATTCCCAATGACAACGCTAATCGAAAAACATCATGACTTTCCATAAAGCAAACAATCTATCATTTGCAACATGGCACAAAGGGATTTATCTTCTTCAGTTTTATGGTGCACTGCGTTATTATCGATCATAAAAATAAAATGTGATTTAAATGCGACAGTAGCTTCTTTCAGGAATACATAATGAAACATAAAATCTTCATAAATCACTTAAATTTAAGTGCTTATGTGACAACTTTTTTCTTTTTCTGTAATTCCAAATTAATCGTTGAATTAATCATACCTAACCAAACCTTACTTGTAATGGCAGTTATTGATTTTTGTGTGTCGATAGTTACCGATATTTTAATTTTCGCAAAATTTTCATTATAAATGCATATAAAACCAACCCTATACCCGATTTTCATGATTATCACATGTAATTATCACATTTATGCAATCAACTATACACTCGTATAAAGACATTTAGACCCACCCGCCTTTTTTCAATTGTTCATTTCCAAATAAAATTCGTCAAAATTGCTGATTTTAATTAAAGATTCTGATTAAAGAATAGCATCCTGTTTATCGAAAGGAGATCTAAGACATAATTTGATATTTTTTATTTGTTATTAGTTTCGAATCTATGTTTAGTCGATGTTTCTGTATGAAAAAAAAATTTTTGTTCTAGCACCCCTTCGAATTGGTCTTCAAAGTCGCCAAACCAGCAGTAATACAAGCGAAGGTAATAATCGTGAATCATCATTAGATGATTCCGGAGTTGTTGACGATCATGAAGATGCTGATTGTACATCTGAAGACGTTGCCACCACTCAGGTGCCAAACATAATTAAGGTACGTATAAATATTTAACAATCAATACAAATTAATACAATTTCGAACATTAGCTAATTTTTGCTAACGTTTTACAAAACATACATTCAGAATTATCGTAGTTCATATTTTGACTTTTGTGTTTTTCAAGTGGATTATATTAACATATTGACATTAACAGATACAGACCAAAATAAAAAATAACCATTTTAATCCGAAAATTCCGCTGCAATAAGCAATTCATACTATAAATATAAAACTGCAGATTTTCGCATTAAAGAAGAATAACCCTCGTTCAAACCTCAATTCCAGTATATTGCATAGCCATAAAAAACATTTTGATCGTTTAATTCTACATAAACATAAAACTTACGTAAAAACTAAAACTTATTTAAAAGTAATTTTCGAGAAAACTTCGAATTTCTCAATTGCAAAGCCATTACTACCGCAAACGTTTATTTAAATTCTTACTACGTACATAGCTATACAAACATACAAACACGTAGAAAATGTAAGTGCATTTGGGCTTACATGCATCAGTTTCCGTTTCTCTAGTTACATAAAATGGATCCAATGCCAATGACTCTCGCCCTAAGTCCCAAACCAATAAAAGTGATCAAGTGTAACGGTGTCGGAAACTGCAAAAAGAGCAAGCACAGTATGTACGCCATTCCCCCAGACTATTTGTCGCATATTGTAGTTATAGGTAAGTATGTAATTTCTAGTTTGTTTTCTTTTCTACTTATTTTTAAGCGTTCATTATCCTTTCTCATGTAATGAATAAAAACGCGAGGCAACAATCGCCCCCTTCAAAAAGGGTGGTTACTATTAAGACTTACTTAAACAAAAACAAGATTCAAGAACACAACTAAATGTGTCGTATCTGCAGAGATATGATTTAAAATACTTTTCCAAACGTATGTAAAATACTTTTTTTGTCGTTAAAAGTTTTGCTAGTGTCACCGTTTAAACATTATATAAAATGATGAATGAAAGTTGGTCACATTGGCCATTGAAGGTTTTAAAAGGTTAAAAAGAAGACAAAAAGACATTCCATGAATGCCTTCTAATTCTTTAACTGAAGAGAGCCCAAAAAATTCTAAACTCCTTGGAAACGGATAATCTAAAATATTGGATCGATATTGTTTTCCGGGTTCAATGTCATGGTCCATGGAATTTTGAAGTTCCAAATTGATATCAACACCTGCCAAATGGAACTACGAAATTCTCTGAATTACGACAAACAATATCGATTGATATACGCCAGCTGTGTAAAACTGAAAACTACAAGTGGTGTGTTAATAAATGCCTATAATCCAAAATTCCTAGAAAACGATTCGAAAAACTTCACTTATTAGATGAACCCAAAGCTAAATAAACTATGGATTCCATTTCTTTCTCTTATTACAATGTGTAAAAGATCAGAAACAAAATGGGATAGTAAATATTTTGATATAAAATGATTGATGCCTATTTTACATCAATTAAATTATTTACAACCCTATTTTGGCTATGACCTTTCACGCTAAACAAACTATTTTGGCATTAGTGTCTTTTTTCCAATTAAAACGGCTGACAAAGACAAATAAGGAATCATATTATAGAAAAACTATTTGTTGCTGAACTGAAGAAAGTATAATATAAAGATAGAAAAACTATATCACTTCAAACAGAGAAATATTAATCATACTCAATCTTCGCAGCTGATAATATGGCTTATTACTAATAAAGAAATTCTTTTGGTAATATATTTTTTTGCTGATTCTTATGCCACATAAAAATGAAAGAAATATTATATATTATTGACTTAGAGATAGATCCTGAAAATTTTTTTGAGTTTCCCTATGAATCATTACATTCTGTAGATGATTTACCGGATCGTAATTGTTCTTGTTGCGAACAATGCTGTGTGGATTACACCGGATGGTTACAATTTCAACAGTCTC